ACTTAATGCTCATTATTGAAATCTACAATTTGATTTTATGACACTATTCAAATAAGTCACTATACTACAAACTACATCGTGTTCAAGATGTTTTATTTAGTAAGAGCTTTTCGGCACTGCAGCACAATATACACATAAAGTGGGGGAAGGTAAGAGGTGTTTCAAGGGAGTAACAATAAAAGACACACACAAAAAAAGAGGAGAGATAAGGACAATAGATGTTTGATAGGACAAATATATATTATGTTGGAATTAATAACATCTATTAAAAAAATTGCCCCTAACACAGAAAGCCTAATATTATTATGTGGTTGATACAAATCAATCAAATTATGACATTCGAGACGGTGTTTGTTTGTCTGAGAGGCGTGGCACACTTTATTCTGGATGTAATACTTGTAAGATCGAGAAAAAACATTTACAAAGGACGAAAAAAAAACAACAGCAGTGGACTGTGTCTAAGATATTATTATTATTATAGCAAAATATTATCGACAACGAACAAGACGACGATGACTTTGTTTGGGCATAATAGTAAGTGTGTGGGTTAAACGCCCCTACCAACACTATTACGTTATGACGCGGAACCTCCGAATTTAACGTCCATCCCCGATAAGACCGAGCCAAATAGTTTGAGTCTTATAAACTCCACAGAACGACCTGAGTTTTAAAAAGACAGTCTGGAATTCGAACTAAGGCCATCCACTTTGTAATGCAGCACGATAAAACTGAACTAATGGTGTGCCCAAGAAGAAGAAGAAGAAGAAGAAGAAGAAGAAAAAGAAGAAGAAGAAGAAGAGGAAGAGGAAGAAGAAGAGGAAGAAGAAGAAGAAGAAGAAGAAGAAGAAGAAGAAGAAGAAGAAGAAGAAGAAGAAGAAGAAGAAGAAGAAGAAGAAGAAGAAAAAGAAGAAGAAGAAGAAGAAGAAGAAGAAGAAGAAGAAGAAGAAGAAGAAGAAGAAGAAGAAGAAGAAGAAGAAGAAGAAGAAGAAGAAGAAGAAGAGGAAGAAGAAGAAGAAGAGGGTACCACAGTTTTAGGAGGAACATTTTTGTGTTTCGCAGTAAGGTTCTTGTTGACCGCAGGTTCATGGGGGTCGACAGTGGAAGCACTGGTCGACTTCGTGACTGGCCGGAGTACGCTTGCATATGACCGGCCAGGGACCGGGGTCATACCTGGCGGGCAGATAGCTTTTCGGGCTTCTTGAAAAGAGCAGCCATTTCGTGCTTTATAATCTTGGATTGGGCGTTCTTGGATCCAAGTCGGGCAATCCTTGCTGAAGACTGTGTGCTGGCCTTGGCAATTTGGGCAGCAAGGACTAGCCTTGCATTCCTTTTCAGGATGCCCAGTCTTGCCGCAGCGAGGACACACGGCTGCACGTCGGCATCGTGACCGACTATGGCCAAACTTCTGACACTGAAAGCAGCGTAGAGAGTTCTGCACATAGGGTCACACGTTCAAGACCAAGTATGATGCCCGAACGGTGGCTGGAGGGCGGCACGAATCAAAAGTTAGAATTATTGTGTTTGTTTCTAATGTGGACTCCCCTCACAGTTATCCACAATATCTTGGTTGGAGCAGCCTTTCAGCTCATGGCTGCGGACCACGCCCTTCGACTGGTTAAATTTCTGGTGTCGCTCGGAAACACAAGGAACACCATCGAAGGTCGTTATCTTTTCAAGTCCGGCCAGTTCTTTATCCGATGCGCACTTGATGAGGAGAGCACCAGAGGACAGTTTCTGGACATTCGCAGGAATGTATCCCAGAACCTGTCTTAGAGCATCTCCTATCTTGAATACGTTTAGATCAGTGATCTTTTTCTGTGCATCGGTGCTGCGGATGGTCGAGTACGGCTGCCGCGGAAGCTCCCTGAGAGGGGGGAGGGCAGAGGCAGTCGTAAAGGTAATTTTTCCGTTAGTAGTTTGTTTGCTCGGCTCGGCGGCCGCACCCGCTTCCACGAGCCGAGACTTTTTTGTAACATTGGGAGTTGGGGAAGGGTTTTTAATTGATGAGGAATCCATGTGAGTCTTTTTGGTGGTTCAACTCCGGGCTCCCCGCCCGCCATCGAGCCCAACAAGGGGACACATTGCTCGGATGACCAGAGCTGTGCCAGGGCTACCCCGGAGCTATACTCTCAACGAGAAAGTACAAGACCCTCCCGTCAAGATTGACCCCGGGCTTGATGTTGTTTCAACTCCCAACCGATTGAGTGGCATGGGCCGTGCCACCCTCCCGTCTAAGAGGAAAACCTGGGCCAAAGAGGTGTGTTGGTGAGGGACAGTCCGTAGACTGATCTTACCTCAACCGCCAGGTGCCCGGTTTCCCACCGCACGGGTCGCACCTCACGATCAACAAGGCGCCCACTCTGTGGGATGGGTGACCTCTCTTTTTGCTGCACATGAGGTCAGCGGTGGGAAGGAAGATAGAAGGAGAAGAGGAAGATACACCAAAGTAAGTGTCGCACACGATCCCAGAGGGTTGGGCTCCGTGTGCGACACTTCGCCTTTGAGGGGGTT